ATAGTAATTGTCCGATAAGTGCCATTATTGCTTCAGATACACTGAAATCTTTAAGAGCCATTTTACATTTGTCTACAAGTAAAATTGCAGCAATTCGTATTGCATGTCTGGGCGACACTAATGTCGTTTTGATCAGATGTTGCAATTCTTCTTGCAATTGCAGAAAATAGCGACGGACTGAAAATTTTAAAATTCTTGCCTAAGTCGAATTGCAGCTGCAATTCTGGGGAAAAATGGCGTAAATAAGAAGTGTCAACCAGTTTAAAAATTCCTAGAAAATACATTCTTGGTATTTAACATGTTTTGAGTTATGTTACATAAACTAACTGGAATATGGAAGAATGATCCACGATGTACGTTTTATTTAATTATTAAGGTGCATATAGATATAACGCGCCAGGCCCGGACCTACAACGGGCCCAAGTTCGTCAGATGTTGTGTATGTACCACACGATGGAAAGCCTGCTTCGATCCTATTTGGCGTGGCCCGGGTTAGGCCCACAGCACCGTACAAATCTAACGAACTTGGCCCATTGTTGGGACGACGCAGGTATGGCCCGGGACGCAGGTATGGCCCGGGACGCAGGTATGGCCCGGGACGCAGGTATGGCCCGGGACGCAGGTATAGCCCGGGACGCATATTCGGAAATCGTCGACATATTAGATACTCGAATCAGTTCGGTATCGAGAATAACAGCCTCGTAAAATCTCGACGTGTTAGACTAATACGTAGGCGATTTACGAATACGAGTTATCTATGCATTGATGTACAATTAGATACTATTAAGATAGGTATATTAGTTTATTATCTCACATAATTAGGAAAATTTGGTAATTCAAATTTAAAAAGGTCAATTGTACATTAAACAGTAAATACGATATATTAGAAATTATTGTCGCATACATATTTTTAAAATTTTAAATTAACTTTTATTTTTAAGTAAAAGGAAATGTGCTAAACCTGCAGTTTACGTTTTCAATTATTGCGCATGCGCCATCCTTGTGTTCACTAGAATAACGAAGTATAATTTTGAGGGCAAGGAAAATGTTTGGAAATTCACAAAACTATTTTTGAAGTACCCAGAACATGCAATGCATAATGGTAAGAAGTAATATTAAATATTCTTGTCTTTCAGAATTCATGACGCGTGATCTCGTTCCAATTCGAGCATACCTGGAATTAGGGATGAGGCGGCAAGACATAGTAATAGCTTCTAGTTACTTCGCCGGAGATGGGCCTGTACCACCCCTGGAAGTATCGAGGCTAGTGGAGTACTGCCAGAGAAGAATCTGCCATTGCTTCTTGGATGCGACGCCAACGCGCACAGCACCACATGGGGAAGCAACGACACTAATCACACAGGTGAGCAACTTTTAGAATACATTTTTAATAAGAACCTTATTATGCAAAATATTGGGAATACTCCAACATTTGTAACAAGGACAAGAAGCGAGGTATTAGACATCACATTAAGCACACCGAGCATTAAAGATCTAGTTACAAACTGGAGAGTATCGAGTGAACCATCTCTATCTGATCACAAGATAATTGTGTTTACGTTAGAGAGCGACATTCCTGAGATGATCCTCAGGAAGAATCCTAGAAACACTGACTGGGACAAATACAACACCATTGTAAAACAAAATTTAGCACGTATCCAGACAAAAAGGGGGCCCAGGCACCCACTTGCTCTGCAAAGCGATCTCGAAGAACTAAATGGGGCAATACTTGAGGCATATGGATCAAGCTGCCCCACTCAAAGAAATAAAACTAGTAGGGGTGCTCCTGGGTGGAACTGTCATCTGCCAAACTTACGATCCGAAGTGCGGAAGCTCTATAATAGGGCCAAGAACAGCGGAGATTGGCAGAGCTACACCGAGGCACTTACTACCTACAATAAAGAAATCAGGAAAGCTAAACGTAACAGCTTCAGAAAATTCTGCGAGGATATTAACTCTACACCTGCGGCAGCTAGACTGCACAAGGCTCTGGCAAAAGGAAGAGTTGGTACAGTCATGGCATTAAAGAAACCAAATGGAAGCTTCACGGAGAGTAAGGAGGAAAGAGCTCGCCTCTTACTCGAAACTCACTTTCCTGGAAGCACACCTTTTCTAATAAGAGACACAACTAAGGTAAGCAGGCCCCCAAAAGAAGTCGCTGTAGTGGCCAAACACGTATGCAGCAGAAGTGTATCCAGTTTAACATCGAGAGAAACTATCATAGACAAGAGATTATCATCATGCCATCAAAGCGCTCAGCTCTTACGTAATCAGCTCAAAAATGGTCTGAATATGCCTAGAACAATTGAATGAGCTAGGCAAGAAAAATAGAGTTACTCTCACTTGGCTCCAGGGACATAACGTGGTACCGGGTAATGAGATTGCAGATAGTCTTGCAAGTAAAGGAGTTCAAACACACTTTGTAGGACCTGAGCCGTTCTGCGTAATATTAGGAGAGATTAAAAAAGAATTGGGCAGTAGAAGAACCGATAATTGGAACAATCTCTTGGGGCTGAGACAGGCCAAGATACTTCTGGGTAAATATAACCAGAAAAGATCGGAAGCCTGCATCTGCCTGAGCAAGAACAGGCTACGTATTGTAACAGGGATCCTTACCGGGCATTGCTGACTAAAAGGACACCTAAGTAAACTGAGAGTAGTAGAGGATAGTGAGTGCAGATTCTGTGAGGAGGAGGACGAAACCTCCATTCACATCCTAACTAAATGTGTAGCACTCCAGAATCCAAGGGCACTATATTTAGGAGGATATCAAATAGAAGAGGGAGATTTACCTAACTTGAAGCCACTTCAAATCCTACACTTCCTTGAGGAAATAGGATTGGAATAACATAACATACGTCGCCAAAGAATGGAGAACATTGGAGAAATTGCATTGATCATGTTAAAAAGGTGGCAAATTCATTTTGGAAAGTTGATATAGCAATAGAAAACTTAATAGACCCTATAATAATATACCTCAGAAAAGACAATGATACCAGTAGTTTTTGATTTTAGGTACTGAAGTGTTACTCTTAATGCTATGAACATATAATTCTTCATGGTATTTATTGGTTAAAATTAATTCGTTCAATGTTAAAGTGCAACAATTTTGTCAGAAGCATAAGGTTTATTTTTATTTTTTGTAAGTAATATAACTTTTAAATCAAAATTTAATCTTCGAAATGCGTATATACCATTTTATATGCCGTGACCTTATTTATATTATTGAAACTTGTTTTGCAAAGTATGCCTATGGAATGTGGAGTTATATCCCTATTTTTACTGCACTCCTCTTTTATTTAGACTATGGGCAATAGAAAAAGGAAACAAAACTAAAATTGTCTCTGATAAGTGATGATTAATGTCCAGCAAACTAACATTTCTTATTTCATAAATCGCCGACGTATTAGTTCTAACACGTCGGGATTTTACGAGTTTGTCATTTGCGGCATCGAACTTTTCCGAGTTCCTAACCTGTCGGCGGTTTACGAATATGCGCCCGGGACTGGCACTTTATATTTATACGCATCTTTAAATGGCATGATTTCCATAATTTGCTTGGTAATTGGCGAACCTGTTTCCATAACCTTTTTGCAATGAATTAAGAAATGTAATACAGACAAGAATTTCTTTTGCATCAAGGAAAATTGTCGCAATTTCAATATCTCACTATATATCAATAATTGTTGATTACAAAAAAGGAGCATATCCACTTTTAGACTAAAATTAGGATACGCCATTTTCAGGTTGCTTTTATATAAAATATGTTCGCTTATAAACGTACCAAGTTCCAACGAAATAATTCAATTTACTGCAGAAATAGCACATTAGAAAAACGGACCAATTTGTTTTTATTTCAATATGAATTTTGAGGAATTATACAAACGATATTACAAGCAAAATGTATAAAAGAAATATTATCATAAAGCCGAAGTAACAGGGGAAGCACATGTAAATTGGAAGGGACAAACAATTCGAGTCCATAATACTTTGGAATTTTTTCCAGTTCGAAGGCATTCGTACCTTCCAGGCGATCTAAGTTTCGGTCTTATTAAATAAGAAGATTGACTATATACAGATTACTATGATGTAGAAATTATTCGGGACGCTTCAGATACTGTAGTAAAGTTTCGAGAAATGCATGTCGATTCACATTGAAGCCTAGAATATCAAAACTGGTTTCTTAGTGTATGTAAAACACACTATTGCTATAGAATCTAGAAATCTCACAGCAAGTTCTAAAGAAAAGTTTTCTATTTCTCTACATTACCATTTTTAAGCTAAAGGAAGTGGAATGGTT